AGGCGCGATAATAGGCTCCGACTGGGGTTCGGCTCACCGCGGTAGGTGGTTTAATTAGATCTCTCGACTTACGCTCGGGCCACGATTCAGCTCGTCAGCCCGTGAGGTGAGCCAGAGACTGAGAACACTTGTTCAATTAGTGATCAACCTCACAATATTTTATTATGCAAATGGCAACTCGCTGTTTTACGGCCTTCAGTCGTTTGTATTTTTGAGTTCGGGATGCCTTTTAAGAATCATCGTTTTTGCTCCGAAAATATCTAAAAATAAGTAAAATTAGACACATATCGTGTTCTTAGGTTTTCGCGATTGCTAGACATTGGAAATGAAACTATTTTGTGTCTATTTCATTATTACTAGCTCACGAACATATCATCACGTGAACATAGAGGCTATACAGCTACTAGATAATACAATTACAGTGCGTAGACTACAAAGAAGTGAACCTTTTGAGTTAGTGTAGCTTAGTGAATAAAATAAATATTAGTGCCAACGTTTATAAACAATTAACACATGAACAAAGCGCCTTCCTCTTAACTAATATTAAAATATATTTTGTCGGTGGACAATTTGTTTATTTATATAAACTTTTATTTTAGGAAACTATTAAATTAAAATTGCTTGTTAGTGTTGTAAAAAGGCTAGACTGTAATTAATGATAACGTTTTAGTTTGCTTTACAATAAATAAAAAATATATTAATCAGTTACAGTTTTGTTGATATTTGCATTAGGATAAGGCTTCCAGTAGTTAGTTAGCTTAGACACCATTATTACTGGTAAGAGTACAGCTAAGGTATGTATAATTATGAGTATGATGATTTAATTTAGATTTATAATCAATAAAAGACCCATCAACAAACCGACGTTTCGGGCTCTTTACAGGTCATAATAATGGTCACGAGCCATGTAAAGAATAGTGAAAAACGTGACTTTAGGTTCGAAAACAATAGTTTCATTTACAAAACATTTTCTATAAAAAAACAAATCTTATTTTAACTCAGAGTTTTTCTTCATGCTTTACTTTTATTTACAATTTAATTTTCTTTTTACATAATACAAAAAAGTTTAGGTGCGTGACCTAGTTAAGTCTATACATCGCCTTCGCAACAACAAAACAAACGTATTGAAAACGTATGGGTCAGTAACAAGTAACAAATAGTGAGTGGTTTTTCTGACGGAAATCGGTAGTGGATTGGAGGGGTGTTCCAGGCTCTCGAACGTTTGACAGCGGGTGAACAGAGGGGCGGGTCAACATCTGCTTCTGTACTTCCGCCGCCATGTCACTTTGACAGCTAAACATTTTTATAACTTTACCACATTTAAGATAGTAGCGGCCATAGTATGTGCTTTATTGAGAGTTTGTAAAAAGACGAGATGTAACGTAATATAGATGTACATATTATAACTATTCTTAAAGGCTTTGCCACCCCATTGAATACTTTCATATTTTTCATGTTTATAGGGTGAGGGTATTGATATGTCAGAGAAGACGATTACAATGTCAGTATCAAAATTATTATTCATCAGTTAACGCTAATATTATATCGTCCGTACTATATTACCTACAAAACCCTTTCTAATAAAATAGTCTTCTTTATTTGTTTCAACTACACTGATAGAATATCAATCATTGAAGAGAGATCGTGACGTGGATGGCAATAAAACAAAATATGTAGTATTTTTTTACAATCCGTCCACTAAAAGATAATATGTTACTTTATTTCTATTTTCTGTATTCACTCAGGGTTTATGTATCTCGAATAGTCACGTCTCGTCCGCGGAGGGCGAAGCATACAAATAAGTGAAAGTCCGAACACCCAAGCCTAACACCCGCTCGCTTCTTTATCTGGGGCTCTCTTAAAAGAATTTGATCGCACACGAGAATATTACGAGCAACATCTGTGACAAGGGACGTATAAACTTAAATATTTGTCCACTGGACACGCTTTTGTGGGCAAATCTTTGTGGGCAAATCTTTGTGGGGTCAACTCAACTTATCCTGTTTCTACGAGTTATTTAGATATATGTATATTGCTAGTTCTTTATTACTTCGTTGTTGTAAGCTCTTAATTATTTTGTTGTACAGAAGACAACATTTACAAATCAAAGCATATTTTTGGAAATTTCAATTTTACAATCTGTATATTTATTATCTTTAGTCCTTCGTATAAATCTGCGTAAAACGCACAAGCTATACGTACAAACGCAGTCGAAAATGCGATCGTTAAAAACTTTGACTGCAACGGTGCCACGCCTTTGCTAGATTTGGACAGCTTCCAGTGGTCTTTTTATGAAAAGTGGAAAAACACATAACTCCGAACGGAGCAATGGCACCGCCATTGCCATCGAGAAAAACAGTTTACTGTGATGCGCTAATTGATTAGTTCCCGTCCTCTTTTCGATACTTCGCTGTGAAAATACGACGTTAAATGTCCCTGGCGGGAGTAAAAGAACCGTTAAATACGAAAAAAATTTTATTAAATAATTGCAATTTCTTGAAGCATTTTATCCCAATACTTGTTTTTTACAATTATTTGTACAATAAGTGCTGAAATAAATAAATATTGCTGGAAAACAATAGCAAATTCAGACTGCATATAGATGACCACAGTGATATATTATTTGTCATCGGCGTGTCACTGGGTAATATAACGAGGCGTCTGTGTTGCCATAATCAATTTGCCGGCGTGGGCGGCTGTCAATTTGCGGTGGGGCGCTACATCGCCGCGCTCGCGTCACCGTCGTTGCCGCGTGCCTGATGACTTCCCAGTGACCGCTTCTGATTTGCATAAGGGCCAGCTTTAATATGAGATTATTCTCGGGTTAGGCCCGACCGAAGTGGCCCCATTCATTATTAGTTTTGGAATATTTAGTCGACCCAATCCCCGGTCGTAATTATTAGAATTGCCTCTTGTATTCGTCATGATTGTTGACGAATTACAGGAAAATTGTTTAATATATCTTTTAGTTTCATCTGTGAAGTACTTATAAAAACTCTCCTTGCGTTATGTAAAGAAATATAATTGTCGTTTTCCTTACAGTAATCATTTAGCTCCAATTCGATTTCCAGTTAGTTATGTATCTATTTCTATTCATGGTCGCGTAGGTAGAGCTACGAGTCGTAGCATTTCCGTAGTCCTAAGCTGGTCGCCGGCAAATCTTGTATCACATACACATTTGTAGTGACGACACGTTATAGCCACGGTAGATTGAATTCATAACAATGGCACACATGTGTAGTGGAGGCAGGCAGCGTCTTGCCTTCGGTGACAAAGGGATTACCCCTCCAGTCTGCGGTTTCTTAATTAACCCCTAAATGCCGTAGCGAACATAGCACCAGTGTGCAAGATTATTGCCGACGTCACCCTTGTTAATTTTAATGTACGGTATTATTGAAACAAATAGAACATCTCGTCTCGACGGGCTGAGTTCCTTTTGAGTCTGCTTGTTAAACCGTGAATCGATAAGAGTACGCTCGTTTGACATCATAATAAGGAGTACTTAATAGGTGTATCATAGGATTAGTAATCGGAATAAATTTAGTATTTAATGACGTCATCAATAGATCGAATTGTGTACGGATATCTTTGTACTAAAATAGTGTATAGTGAACCAGGAAATGTTGCAAATAAATTAATGATTCTTGTTATTAAAATTGAATTAAAAATATTTTATTCCGAAATATTTCAACTTTATTTATTGAATATATAAGATATTACCACAGTACACCTATTTAACAATTTCGATAACATACAATGTGGAAAACATACGAGGCGTCTGTCATTATGTAGATTTATAAACTAACCTCAAGAGAACCTTGAAAACCGTCACGTTAAATCAATACAATGAAGAAACGCACGTACAGCTAATAGGGCGGTATGAGGCAGGCAATGCGCAATCCACATCAGTCGAGTCAACGCAGCGAGCCGGAAAACGGAGAGTCGTGTTTATGCCTACCGCTAATGCGATCATGGACAAACAACCCGAGCTTTCATCTTCACTCGCCGATCGCACACCGGATCTAAATGAACCACGGCGTATACGCAATCTCTTATTAAAATTTACCTAAGCCTTTTAGTAATTTAAGATCTGCCTTTCATAAGCTACTCACCAAGACATAAGCAATAAATCTGGCTGTTTTTTTATCCACATACCCATTTAATCCATCAAACCTTGAAACTAAAGCCATCATTGCCCCAAATTCTATTATTGAATGAATGAAAATTCTATTATTGAATGAAATAAAATTCATGGTAAAACAAATCTATTGAAAGTCTATTTGCACAAGACCTTGATACGTAAACAACCGTGAGGGCGAACTATCGCCACTGAGCAAGTTTATTCTCCAAACAGCCGTGTATGCACGACATCACCGCTCCGTGAGTCAGCCGGCCAGCTTGTCCCCCTATCTCACCGCAACGCTAAACTCACCACCCTCACACTATTAACTCACTCATTCCTGAACAACAATTCTAAAACACAACAGTATTTTTGTGATAAACTGCATTGTTCAGCAATAAGTGGCGCCATTAAACGATTCGTACCATCTAGTACTCATTCTCGTTCATCGCTTTCACATAAAACTAAAAACGCGAAAAGAAAACAAAGAGCGCCAATTTGGCGAGTCGAAGACAAACGCATTTAAAATGGGCAGAGCAGAGCAGGAGTCATCTATCTCGGAGCTTGATAAACGACGACATTATTCTTTATCACCCACTCAATTTGTTTAAAAGCGTTCTGCTTTGATAATTTGAGAATTACAAATCGTATCCTCTGACACAAAAATGTCCTCATAACTGCAAAGTCTTGGCATCTCCTTGATAACGCTTAGGAGGCGATCGTTCCAATTTATCTAAATTTATATCTTTAGGAGCCCGGTTCCGACTGGCTAGCACAAATAACGTAGTTTAACAGAAAAATATGAATGAAGGGATTTATCGGCGCGAAATTACTATCCACATAATCTCTAACAATAACAGAAGAACTTTGATTGTTTCAGTAGTGGAAGAGCCAGAGTTCACCGATGTGATACAGAACGTGACCGTACCAGCTGGTCGAAGTGTTCGACTTGCTTGCTCCGTCAAAAACTTAGGCTCATATAAGGTAGGTATTTTCCTGTTATAAAGTATTAGTCCTAAATTAACAACTTTCCTATTTAGATAAAAACAGCAATACATTCCACTTAAGAAAACAAAACATTTTATCTTCAATAAGAAGGCAAGAAATCACGATTGCTCGGCGCACCACTTACGAGGCAGACACATAGTACAGTGGGGTTGCGACAATATGCGTGGCGCGCCGAAAGGAAACATAAAATAAAAACCATTTTATCATTTGATTTAGAACACGCCGTCGTAATAAAGTGTCCATATAAATGGAGAAGGATATGATTTACAACCCCTACGCCGAGTTTGCACCTCTCTCCATAGCTTAGATGGTTTAAAAACTAAAATAACATTAGACACTGAAAAACCAGCTCTAAGCCAATTTCACAGATGCTTTTTTTGTACGCAGCAAGGACAACATTATTCATTCGTGTTTTCGTAGAAAATAGTGATTGGAATTTTAAACAGGATACGGTGATTTTTCGTTTTTCAAAAATATTCTGCAGAAATGTAATGTCGATAAATAATACGATCTCGTTTCATTTTATTAACCCATTACGTAAACGAGTGAAATATATAAGTAGCGTTGCGTTCTGTAGGTAATCTACATATTTCATAGTGAAAACAAATCCATATGGCATTAGTGGAGCCGATTGGATCATTATTATGATAAAAATTGGATCCGTTTATTAATAAGTACGCAAAACTAAATTCGAACTGTGAATATTTAAAGATTATTAGTATTCCACTGCATAGCAGTACATGATTTAGTTAGCAGCAATGTGTACAGTCAATCCGATTGTAGAACCGGAGCTCCGTAGAGGACGAACGGCAGCCGGCGTGACCGGACGGCCGATAAGCCGCAAGGTGACGTCACAGGCGACTAACTGCCCGGACCGCAGCCTCCTAGGGGGCATACTCCATTTGGTACTTACTACCACCACCGTGCGCCCACTGTGCACTAGACACCTAGATCAACTTAGCTTATCAATATGGGAAATGAAACCTGATACAGGCCAGTTCTAACATCAGTTTAATTGCCTCTGTCATCAACTAAAGCTTGAATGTTTGTTCATTTTTCAAACCAATGCTTATCTGAATCCTGTAATACACTATTATTCATTCTGAGCGACTCATTCCTCCCCTTTATTACATTTACTTACAACGTGGCTGTCTGCGTAGCGAGCACAATAAAAGCCAAGATAGTGTTCTCTTACTTGTGAAATAAAGGCTTAACGGAGGGAGCCATCACGGTTGCCCTGTATTGACAACAAGAAGCGGATTTTCCTGAAAGCCTCGCCTGTGCCATTAGTTTCCCGCATCGGTTAAAAAGATTTGCCTCTTCGTCCGTTCTTTTTTCGGAATTATTGAGTCTCACAAAATATTGCGGTGAAACAGCAAAATACTCATCCCTTCTCAATATTTTACCTGAGTTGTGATTTCGTTTACCCATCCTTCTTTTCTGTGTATCAGATCAATTTAGCTACGTCAACAATACCAAATTACCGATATTTTGCTTACGCTTTGGGTTGTGCTTGTGCGAATAAACCTTTATTATTTATTTATTCACAATATACGTCAACAACAGAATCCAAAACACGTCAATGCTAGTCCACAAGTACTTGAACGACAGATGCTGTGTAGGATTTTTATTATGGATACTATTTACTATTCGAAAAATTTTTGTGTGTCAGTGGTATTGATTTATTTTTAAAATTGAACGTATTGGTTTTCCAAAGCAATAGAATTAACTGTTTTTCATTGTACTCGAAGGCTGCAAAGTATGCGCCCGAAACCGGTTCATCGGCATGAAATATCAGATAGTCGGTAGCAGCACGTATGTGGGTTTGCAATAACATGCCACAACGAGTCGCAGCAATGTTACACTCGCGTATGCGAACGCCGGCTGTTCAAATTCTGGCATACTTCTCGTGCCAGGACTGTAGGCCAGCGCTGCCAGTGCAGCCAATATTCAACCAAGATGTCGAGGGCACAGAGCACTTGTCTCCGTGACTATCCGTGTGATGCTGAACGTACGGAATGATCACAATTGCGAAATAAGTTGCGTCGATTTATGCTTTAATTAAGCAAAGATGCAGCGAATTTTCTGATGTGACTGAATTATGGTTTTGTTGGTATTGTGCTATATCATGTAATGCTCATAAATTAAATATTTTTGTGCTTTTGAGAGTATTCAGTGCATGAGTGTATTCATAACTTTGCGATATTTTCAAAGAAAAATTATACGATAGTGACCCTATTAGGTAAAGTGTCAGAATATTTGAGACCAGTACTACCTCTCATCTAACCCACAGTAACTTATTGGCCGAAGATTCGCGGAAAGTTAGAGAGCCCTCGCAAATCCGCCGGCGAAGAGATCTCTAAGTGGGCTTTTAGTGGAAGTAAGCTAAGCCATCTTGCGCACGGCTCGCGACTCGCTCATTTCTGTCTGCGCCGTTGCAATGCCGCGTCATTGGGATGTAGCAATTGATGTTTGTTTTTTTCTATTACAGTACCTTTATAACGTTTCTCATAATATAGCTACTTTAAATTTAGTGTTTAAGTTTAGCTAATGTTTTCAATGTTTTATTTTTCTTGTGAAATGTTATAAAGGTTTGTAAATTGAGGTAATTTAGTAAATTTTATACAAAGCACTTGCTTAGGTTGGGTTAGTAGCTATATGTATTATATATTTTAGCCTATATATTACAGTCCCAATGCTGGGCATAGGCTTCACACACGGGGCACGTGGGTATTACGGGATATTAAGATATACTTCAACATGTCAACAATAAAATCTTCAATATGTTAGTCTAGATTATATAATGAATTGAAAATAGTTACCGTTACTTAGCAGAATAATGAATTAGTTACGTTACGTACGAACATAGAAAAAATGAGATATGTGAGAGAAATTTTTGTTTCTTATGTTTTCCCCGATATGGAATGAAGTAGTTTTAAATATAATTTTCGTTAATACCTTTCTAATATTTTTTAGTTTACTTAGTTCATTTTGTCAAAACTTTATATTTCACTTATATTATATTAGAGATTCTCTTTGGTCATATGGATAAATATAACGCAATAAATACAGTACGTACCTAATTATTTCTGAAAATACGTAACCGGAAACAAGAAATGAAAATGAAAAACGAACGGTAACAATGCTAACAAAGGAACAATGTAATTGAATATTAAAGAGCCTTGTTCTTTTCGTCGTAACAGATATGAAATAAATCGAAAAGTCGTTACGTTTGAAATTCGGAGATACAATTTGTTTGACGTACCCTGGGCAACAATCAGCGAGAACCTTGCACCGATTGGTAAATACTTGAAAGACGAAAAGGTTTTTTTATAATATCAAGTGACGGGACGAACAAGTCGTGTGGTTGGTGGTAAGCTATACGCCTGTCCATAACAGTTGCTGTGCCACTCAGAGCTTAAATTGCAAAGATCTGAGGGGCACTGCAACTGCGCCTGTCACTCTGAGACATAAGTTGAATTTGTACCAAGTCACTGTAATTCTCCTTGTGAAAGGGTACGTCCAGGGAAGTACTGCCACCTTACCTATTTCTGCCGCTAAGCAATAATGTCAGCATTACGTTGTTCCGGTTTTGAAAGGTAAGGGTGCTGGTGAAATTACAGGCACATGGGACTTGTGAACTTATGTCTCTGGGTGACGGGCGCAGTGTCAGTGTCCCTCATATCTTTGCGACTTACAGCTCTGAGTGGCACTGCAACTGTTATGGACAGGCTAAAGTGGTTCGCACGGAGCTCTACTGCAGCTATTGTTTTTTACGTAGAATACTCGGCGAGTGCACAAAATATACATATTATAAGTACCCACCTAACCTATTCCTACTGCTAGGGTGTAAAGCATACGAGCAAAACAAGTAACGTGACATTGGTTACGAGCACAGCACCTTAATACTGCGCTTTGTTTTCACATTTCCTTTACTGCCGCTCGTGTTTCCATTTTGTTTACAACGGCTCAGTGAATAAATCACTGCAAGCGGACACGGGGAACAAAGCAAGAATACGCGATATTGTCTCACTCAGCTCTAGCTTCTCTTAGATTTGTCTACCGGCCATATTTACACGACAATAATGTTAATAGCCACAAGGGAGAACGTATTACACGAATAAATCGTACGAGTGAGAGGTTAGAGTTTTCGTTATAATTTACTATAAAATACAAAACACACAAACAAACTACACAATATACTGTACAAAACATTAATTTGCGTTTGTTTTTAACCGACTTAAAAAAAGGAGGAGGTTCCACATTCGACTGTATGTTTTATTTTGTATGTATATTTCACGATAACTCCGATATTTATGAACCGATTTTGAAGACTCTTTTTTTGTTGGAAAGAGGGTACCTCAAAAATGGTCTCATTTAAATTTGAAGAAAATATTCCACCTCTAAGGTTGGCAAATTAGTGGATGAATGACTTTTGAGGTCGGTTTTTTTGTACTCTGTACTGAGATTATGTTTCAAGCAATGTTTTTTGTGTCAATCTGTGACAGCTACTTCACATTGCTACTTCCGTGTCACGCATGTTCTGTTGCCGCATCCACTGAAAATCAGCGTTGTGGCACTTTAAGAGAGACGACAATAAGCTAAGTCGATCATATTATCTGTAATTAGTTCTTCGTCGAAATCTTTATATTATTCTTATTATAAAGTGCATGTGTAATGTGCGTTGTTTTTTAAAGGAATAAATGATTGCCTATTTCTATGATTTTCTATTTTAAAGTACTCCACAAAATATGTCACGATAACAAGTACAATGAAGCTTCTTAAGTGTTTCTAATTAAATGTGTCGTAGTATTATTAAACACGTCTACGAATCATCTCCTGCGGCGATGGGGTCTGTCGTTAAAGAGGTTCGGAGCGGTGCGCGGTAGAATGGCTAAAGTTTGCAACGAGTCCATTATAAATCAAACGACGCCTCCCAGGCATGTCCTGAGGGCCGAACTTTGCCTCCTTAATGCCTCAACAATTAAGATAAAAAGAAAGAAGGGCCTAAATTAAAGGTGGTTAAAAGATAACGAGTTAATAGGCCCCTTTAACTTCACCATAGAAAAGCCAAAATGCGTGATTTGAGCTGCCAGACTAAGTACTAAATTTGAAAGATTAGGGCACGGTGGAAGTTATCCTATTTCAGTAGACAGACGCTGTGGGTATTAACGCATATTATACAGCCAAGTATCGTAGTACTTTAACTCGTTTAGGATCCGCAGACGAACGAAATTAGTTAGCCACTGCAGCTATTCCGAATAATATCATCTGCATCTTCAGCGTTCATGTCTTCGTGGTTAAACTAAATACGTTGAAGTTCTCCACGTAGTTGCGTAATACGCAAACTTTGTATTGGTTATCGAACAATCACTTAAAACTTTTCATTTATTTCGGAAATACTCTCATAAAATAACTTTAATTCCGAAGAAAACCTTAGGACGGTACAAAATATTTCGAGCGGACCAACCATCCCGAGCTTGCGATGCAAACTTGGTAAAGTTCAACACTCTGCGCTTATCTCAAGTGCTAATAAAATTTTGATTCGTCTTTAATATTATCTTAATTGTTTGAACTGTAAAAGGGAAGTTTGAGGAATATCCTTTTGTGTTAAGTTTTCAGATTACCTCTGATTTTAGTAGACACGTGTCTTACGAGATGAACTAAGTTTGGGAGAGGGGATGTGTAAGATCGACTAGTGATGCGTGACCATTAAATTTGTTTAGCGCTCCTCTAACGACTACGTCGGGAGAAACGCCGCCTTCTCACCTTCAGAGTGCTGCGGTGGTACGATGATGACTTCTCGGGCCATGTTCCGTTATTAAATTAAAGCGGTGCAGACGGACGCAACGGGTGATTAGATTAGGCGCCGTCCACAATTACGTAGATCAGATTTAAATCCTCCCTAAGCATCCCCACTGTACCGCGTTCGCCCCCTCTATTAATTTCACTCGATGGCTTGGTTATTTATTGATCTTGTACATGTGCTAATACTTTACGTTATTGTTCTTATGTATGTACTTGCTTTATTTTTATTTGGCATGTTTTTACGAGTAATAGTTTGTTATTATTTTAATACAAAGATCGAATAAACACAAAGAAAAATTCCTTTGATCCGGCTGATCTCGAATCGACGACTGTCGCCTCATCGTGACTATATACTTATGTAGGTACTTGCTTTTGAATTACACGATAGGTAGCAGACTGTTTAGGATTAGGATTGGAAAGGAATGATGTCCAATTTGGAAATAATTTTCTTTTATTTCATTCAATATTGTATTAATTCAGGTTAATTTCTATGGTAAAGTAAGTTTTGTGAACTTTGGAATTTTAATATTCTGTATATCTCAATATCTCAATTTGAAAATAGTCCGTTTACTAAAAGTGTTAGGAATAACGAATTTCCGAAACATATAACCATTCTTAAAATAAAAAATTTTTAGAACTCTAGCTACTTAATTAGAGTTTTACAAAACACCAGTTCAATGTGAATCCTTTCAAATATTAAGCCTTGTTAAATATCCCCAAAGCCTCAGGTTATGCCGCAACGAGTCAGGTCGCCGTCATTAGAGGGGTTGCCGTCCCATTGCATAATAAAATGGCCGAAGTTCCTCAAGTCCATTATAAATTAGACAGCGGCTGAGAGCCGCATCACTTAAGATAGGTAAGATGTGACCCGGCACGAGTTTTAGCTACCGAACTTCCCGCTATATTGCCGCCGCAATCTTGATAAAAAGAACTACCCATAATTCAAACTTAAAGCCGGATTAAGAGGTAAAGTGTGCACGTCGAACTTTTAGATTCTGGACCTCTTTTAACTCTACAAAAATTTTATTGTAATAAGTTTTATTACAAGACGAACTTTAAATTAAAAGAGGTATATCGAGTACTTAGGTTTTCGCGATTAATAGACATAGAAAATGACACTATTTTTCCGGATTCAAATGGCATATATTTGATTTTTCCAACAAACCTGCTCTTCAGGCCCTTTACAGGTCCCACGGTTACGGTTGAAGGAGGTGGTAAAGTCATCAACCAGTTATGTCTAATATGCAAATGCAAACCCCTTTTTTCACTATAGTTACAAAAGCTATTAATTAAATAACTTATTTTTAAATTTTCCATAACATTCCAATTTACGTCAACCGTGATCATGGGACCTGTAAAGAGCCCGAAACATTGGTTTGTTTGAAAGAACAAATACAGGCAATTTATATCCGGAAAAAATAGTTTCATTTTAAAAGAGGTTTCTTTTACTAAAGATAGTGTTTCAAGCATCAGTTTTATAAAAATATTTAACATGTTTAACAAATAACCCCGCGCAAAATAGGCGCTGCGACATCTACTAGGGGGAAAGTGTCCGTTATACTAAATTAAACAGAACAAATTCGGTGTTTTGTTTTCAAGCGACAAATGAAGATTTAATTTTAAACTGTATAACAATTTTTTGTGATTTAATCATAACTGAGTGAGATTAAAAATGTCGAGATTGGTCGGAGGGTAACGATCCCAGTAAAATGCATTTTAAGCGGTTAATACCGTGGAAATTGGCGTGAAGCGACGGACACGGAGCTCTGTGCAATTACACAGATGTTGCGACACCGCGGCGTATTGCTACACCACCATCGCCACGTTGCCACAGCAACATCACTAACGCTTAATTTCCTCTATTTATACTCTTTTAGAAGCTATATTCGGAGAAATAAGATCATTTCTATGATTTTCATATTATATTCAACTACAAAAATATTACTTTTACGTGTGAAATGTTTATTTAAGTATTTAATTTAAAGTTTCACGATTAAAACATATAAATCTTTAAATCGATCTATATCATACGTAAGTACTTATACATAGTAACATTGATTTTTGTAAAAATATAAGCTTCGTGAAGTATTTGAGCGTGGGGTGCCGTTTTCTTTAATTTCCGTTACGTCACTCGTCAAATTTGAAGACCGATTGGGAGTTATAGGTGGCGCAATTCGCGCTACCTTCCCTGTCTGTAGTAAACGTAGTAACTTTTTTAACAGAGTTAATCAGAGACTCTTGTACTAATAAATAAATACTTTAAATACGCTTTAAATAACAGATTACCTATGTGGAATTGGTAGCATAGTAATAATTTCTACATCAAATTTTAATCCATAAAAAAACCGACCTCAAAAATTCGTGGAATTATGTACATCTATTTGCCAAGTTTTATTGAAATCGGTTACCGGAAAGCGCGCGAAATCAGATTCATCCCCTACTTTGCCACCCCTAGAGGTGAAATATTTTCTTCGAATTTAAATGGAACCAATATTGAAGTACCCTAGCAAAAAAGAATCATCAAAATCGATTCACAAATTATCGCGTAACGTACATACAAAAAAAAACAGTCCAATTGAGAACCTACTTCTTTTTTTGAAATCGATTAAAAATAGGGTTACAACAAACCCTATTTTAGATACAGTACTTATTGAAAGTATAGATATAAACTTTTGGATATTGTTATAGGTGGCGTGGATGCACTTCGAGCAGTCAGCCATTCTGACGGTACACAATCACGTGATAACTCGAAACCCGCGCGTAAGCGTGACACACGACAAGCATCGCACGTGGTTCTTGCACATTTCCGACGTGCGCGAGGAGGACCGCGGTCGTTATATGTGCCAGATCAACACCGTCACTGCTAAGACCCAATTTGGATATTTACATGTTGTCGGTACGTGTTTATTGTACCTTATAGAATCGACCCCACTACCCTTTACAATTTATGCATTCATTGACGGATCAGCGAATCCTTTTTCTTCCCGTAAAATTTCTGCTGCTTAGTGTAGATGTCTGAATCTCGTTTTGTCGAAAGACAGTCTTCAAATCAGACGCACTATATACCGTATATATACATATATATACCGTAATTTTTTGTCACATTGAAAGCCCTATTTCTAATTGACGCTTTATTTATTTACCAATTAGCCGTTATAAAAAAGGCGTTAATTTTCAGTGCCACCAACGATCGACGATTCTCTCAGCTCGAGCGACGTTATCGTTCGCGAGGGCGCCAACGTCACGCTGACGTGTCGCGCTAATGGCTCGCCTAAGCCCACCATCAAATGGAAACGGGACGATAACTCGAAAATTTCCATCAGCAGAGGACACGTAGGTATGTCGCTCCCTTAATAGATAGAATTATGACCAACAAGAAACTTCTGCAGTCACAGCAAGGAATAATAAACAACTAATTCTATATTTGAGTTAAACTAAAGATGACATTTAAATGTACTAATGCTCAATGAGCTACTGTGGTAAACTTTGTCTTAAAAAACTTTAATCAGTAGTGGGATGTGTTATAGTTTATTTACAATTTGCACCCATTTGGTGTAATAATCTGCAAAATGATAACTTTTCAGGAGATAATTTTGAAGATTCTGTCAACGAAATTAGTCAATAACTTTTTATGCTTTAAAAGGAGAGTTGTAAAATTTCACACATACATATTTTCAATATGTGTTTTATTGAACATCATAATTTTATTATCATGATATTCATACTTTTTTGTGAAAATTCTCCACGAGTTTGGTGTTGATACAAAAATCGAACAAACACTAAGAAATATTCCTTCGATCCGGCTAGATTGTAACCAGCATCTGCCAGTCCGGGCTAACCGCTCTCCTAACTGAGCTACGGAATGAATCAGCACACCTCACGAATTTCTCTATGTGTTTGTTGCCGATTTTGTTTTGCTTTGTTTTTGATGGCTTTTTGCTGTAGCGCCATCTGTGAGAATCCTATGAAGGTTTTTTCTTCACTCAGCCAGGTACCTTATTATCGATCCAGTATTATTGATTATACGTAATTTATAGATGATCAAACGAACTTATTGAAGTGAAGTTCGATCACTATTATGCGAGTGGCTTCATTCGAAGATATAATATTTAACCAGGAAGTTTCCTTAACTTGTTAGGCAACACCGCACGGTTTTTAGACAAAAAAAAATTGTTTTGACGTTGACACTCTCTACAAGTTGATACTCTCTATAAATTAAAAACCACAGGCTTAATCAGTAACTATATTATATTTTAATTAAAATTATATATAGATATGAACATATAACGGTTTTTCTCCTGAGATCACAATCATAACAATTTTTAAATCGTACAATCATATAATAATTTTATAAATAAATATTACTATTATTATTAATTTAGAATAGTATAATTTGCCGCTTTATTATGTTGTAAGCAAATGGTTCTCGCGAACGTGTCGCGAAAGTCTTCAGTAAGTATTAGTCTAGTATAAAATCTAGTAAAGCATGTGAGATGTCGAAGTCCAACTCGCAGACTTGCGTATGAGCTCTATGGGCACCGCCGTTTAGCGCCGCGCGCGTGACTGGCGCATAGTAGGCTGATTTCGGAAAGTGTGGAGTTAAGGCTTGAAATTGATAGGATCGGATACTACTAGTCAATATGATAATTTTATGTTCTGGAACTTTTTTCGTATCTTCATCTATACCAATATAATTAAAAAAAATTCGAATATTTGTATTTCTGGAACTACTCAACCGATTCAGAAAATTCTTTCATTAATAGAAAGTAACACCATCCCCGAGTGATATAGGCTGTTGTAATAGGATTACTATTGGAATCTCTATGCGGGGCGTAACTAGTAGTTATAGTTTTTAAGTAATAACACTTTAAAAAATGTTTGTAGAAATATTTGAGATTTGACGTAATTTATTTTAATTTCGGTATTATGCGCTACATTCTCGACACGAGAAAAGATAACACACATAAAATTAATGCCAATCAATAAGATAATAACGTTAAGAATATCAAGACGCATACCTACGAACAATCACCGCTCAAGGTAGTCAGCAGTCTCATCACCCTAAAATGTCACCTGGTTTGCTAAAAAACACACGTGTAAACAATGGGGAGCTTATCATAAACACGAACAAAAGATCAAGGTTGTTAAGAAATATGCTTATCTTTGACAATTGTGGTCAAGTTAGGATAATAGCAGGTAGTAATTAGGTCGGTTGGTCACTCAAAAGATCAAAGTTGTAAAGAAATATGATTATATAAAATTGCAAGCGCTCTTAGATTTGACAGCAAGCAGATTATTAAAATCTATAACGTTAAATGACGATTGTAAACAAATGAAACTAATAAGTAAATGGGGTTTTGACGGTGCCTCGAATCAAGTTATATATAAGCAAACAATAGAATCAGAAACGGAAGATAATGGAGATGATTCCAGCGTATTTATGGGAAGTTTAGTACCCATCAAGTTAGTTTCTGGAGAATCAACGATTTGGGAAAACGACTCGCCAAATTCAACACATAAGTGTCGCCCACTATTTTTTAGATTCATTAAAGAGAATAAAGCAACCATAATACAGCAAAAAATATCAGTAGAGTCTGAAATTGACCAACTGCAGACTACAAAGTAGAAGATATTGAAATTACTCATTCCTTACTGCTTACTATGATAGACGGTAAAGCCACAGCAATTTTAAGTGAAACATCAATGCAATGATGTGATATATGTAAAGCGGCTCCCAAAGAAATAGTTAGATCTAACATCATCAAAAAATTTCGATACCGAGTTATATAAATATGGCCTAACGTCATTGCATATGTGGATACGTATGATGGAGTGTATTCTTCACATAGCGTATAGATTAGATTTGAAAACATGGGTTGTGAAAGGTGAACAAAAAGCCGCTACGGAAACTAGAAAAAAATTATTCAGGACGCCTTTAAAGTTCAAATGGGTTTATAGGTTGATGTTGTTAAACAAGGTGACGGTACAGCGAATGATGGAAATACGGCAAGCCGATTTTTCTCAAACTATAAAAGCATCAGCTTCCATTACAGGTGTTGATGAAAATTTAATTAAAAGATTTGCCACCATTTTGCAAGTCATTTCTTCGGGACAAACAATAAATATAACAAAATTTAAAGAATATGCTGAAGTAACTATGAAGTTATACATAGATCTATATAAATGGTATTACATGCCTTCAAGCGTGCATAAACTATTTGCCCATGGAGCAGACACAATTGCCAGTTTCGGCCTAACTCCAATTGGAAAATTATCTGAAGACTTTAGATGATGTCGCTTAGACCATTCTAGAAAATTCAATAGAAAAACAACCAATCAAGACATTCTTAGATAGATAGATAAACACTTTATTCACTGATATAACACAAATACAGATTTAGCATAAAAGAAAAAACAAAACATGATTGTCATAGCAGTGAAACGGCGCTGACTCAGCATATGCCAAAGTTTCCTAAGGCGCTGGTTTTCAGTCAGAACCAACGAGAGGGATTAAGTTACTAGAAAGCAAAAATATAACGACTTTGAGTAAAGTTATACATTGACAATAATAATATACATAGTAAAGTGTAAATAGTGCATTTAAAATAACCTGCTTGACATATAAGTGCATGAGCAAATGTGAATATAATTACAGCTGTAGGTGTAAGTTATGACTGTAAAGAGGATTTAATGTTGTGTAATGTAATTAGTATTATAATATAATTATACACATAATAAGAATAGATCAAAGCAACAACAAAATTCGATTCTAGACAGACTACGTTAAAGAATAAAAACACACTACACCGATTTTTGAAGTGAGAGTAGGTGTTGCCGGTACAGTGCTTTGAATTTGGGTTTGGATGTCTCGTTGCGTATAGGTGGTGGAATATTATTCCAGCACTTTGAGGCCGAGTATTTGAAACTACCTCGAAAAGCTGTAGTTCTATGTTGTGGTACCATTAGAACACAAGATCGGACAGATCGCTCTCTGTAGCGTACATTAACACTAGATGACCACATTAGTTTATCATAAAGATATTCAGGTGTTCTAGTTTTTACTATATCGAATAAAAGTCCTGCATACAGGAGTTTTTGACGAGACCCGATATTTAGTAGATTTGCAGCGTTGAGATAAGGAGTGACGTGAATACGAGGGGGTATAAAAAAACAGAATCTGGCACATGCATTTTGGACACGCTGCAGAAGTTTGTGTGTTTTAGACAAAATGCATGGACCATACGACGTGATACAATAGTTGATCTTAGATAATATCAATGCTTCACATAGAGAAATACGCAAATCAACACTGAGAAACGGTCGAATACCGTAGATCACTTTTAACCTATAGAAGCAACTGCGAACAAGTTCGGCCACATGAGTGTCAAATTTAAGATGACCGTCCATAATTATACCCAAATTTCGGGCCTCCGCTACCTGAGCAATCTTCTCACCATTAATTGAAAGAACTGGCGCATGTGACTGGATGTTTCTCACTTGTTTACAAGATCCTAGAATCAAAAGCTGAGATTTAATTGGATTCAAGACCAAGGCATTGTTCCTGGACCAAATAGATAAGCGGTGTAGATCCTCATTAATGAGGCTGGTACTTTCGGCGGTTCTATCTGGATCGAAAGACAGATGTAACTGAACATCATCCGCATAGAGGTGATACTTGCAGTTTTTAATGCAGCCCGTGATATCTGAAGTGTAAAGCACAAACAGCAACGGCCCCAATATAGAGCCTTGCGGCACGCCCCTGTCAACAGCACTCAGATCCGACAGCAGGCAAGCACCATTGGATTTCGACAATTTTACTTGTTGCGTGCGGTTAGTAAGGTAACTTCTGAACCATTCCAAAGCCGTTCTTAATAATTTATTAATTAGTTCGGACCCATATATTTCAAAGAAACGAATTAAATTGCTACGGAAACACTGTCAGATGAAGCAAAAGATTTAATAATTTGATCAGAATCTTTTGATGATGACACAGATTTGGAAAATTTCGATTTTGTAAATGTTGATTTGCCATATAACATGAGGATCGAACAGCCTGAGACCGAGTAATTTAAAAAATATTTTATTAATTTTTAATATATTTCATAGTGTAAATAAAAAATAACTATTCTATAATAATAATAATATTTTTTTACCAAGTCACATCACGCAACATTTGGCATGTCAAGATTTGTAAGTCAATGATGTCAAGGTACAATTTGTGGATCTTCTATAACACTCCATAACTTAGCCTATAAAAAAATGTCACTTAATTGTCTAATCAAACAAATGTCAAACAATATCTCCTTACAATTTAGATTTTTTTTTCTTCTTTCCATA